CAAAATTCACAAATTAAATGGGCACGGCTTTGTTTTGCAGCCTTTGTTCCCAGATCAAACATCATTAAAAAAGCTCCTCTTTCAAAAAAAAAAATCAAAGAAAAATCATATTAAAATCATCCTCCGGTGGCGATGGACATGATTTTCAAAACTGTGTTTGGACAACATTTTAAGCATGGAATTCCCCTCCTAAATCGAGCACACGTAGGATCAGTTTGGTATTGCTAGAACTTACATTAAGTTACTTATAAAAGGTGCTTATAAAATCAACTTAAATAAACTGCTGAAAATAGCTATTTGGTACTCAAATATAGAAAATTGTTTTAAAAAAATTTAAGGTGTTTGGTTAAATTATGCTTAATGATCATTGTTGAAAGGTAAAAAATGTATGTCATATATAAAGATACTTTTAAAAGCATCCTCTTGTTGCTTCTAAAAGTATCCAGTTCAAAGTACAAACAGTTTTCAACAAGCATAACAAAAAGATCTTCACCAAACATCATTATTATCTCTGCTTCTTGAGAAAATAAACAGAAGTACCCTAAAACTAGGGGTGGGCAAAAACCGAAAAAAACCGGTTCAACCGAAAAAACCGCCCGAAAAAATGGGCCGGTTAACCGAACCGAATTAAATGGATGAGAAGAAGACTCTAAACCGCCCGAACCGAATTAAACCGTTCTGGATCCGGTTTGAACCCCTGAACCGCCCGAAAAAAAACCGAACCGAATATTCTCTTGTATTTGACAAATATGTGAACAAATTTTCTGAATTAATTCCATTTTCACAAATATGTGAACAAAGTTTAAAAAAAATCAGAGGTAATCCTGTTATTTATTCTCTTTGACGTAAAGTATATAACTAAGCAAGCAAGCATGTGTTTAATGGCAGCAAACAAGCAGCAAAAACATCAGTCAACACCATTCATCTCAAACTAGGATACGCACTAGCTTGAGCTGTAAATTTCACAAAAACACCCTGCATTTTGGTGTAAGTTGCACAACACCCTCCAGCACATTCAAAACTAAAGAAAAACCACCTAAACTCGAACGATCTTCACAACTTCCTCGAAATAGAATTAATTCGGCCCAAAACCGAAACCGATCCGAACCGATCCGAATTTCGGTTGGGCCGAATATTCGGATGAAGGGGGGAAAATCTGGATTTGGATGAGAGTTCTGAGAATTCAAAAAATTCGGATTGGATGCGGATTGGGCTTAAAACCGATCCGAACCGAATATGCCCAGTCCTACCTAAAACAATACAAACTCGCCCTTAGAACATGAAAGCAGTTTAAGTTCAAATCTTTCAGATCATTTTTCCGGATCATTTTCCCATGCTTGATTAGTTGGCTGTGTTTAGAATGAGCTTCACCTTAAATATTCATCTACGTATTGTGGTGGTCATTTGACGCAACAAGAAAAAGAAATGAGGTTGGCGCGACAAGAAAAAGATGAGCTTGGTGCAATGAGTTTGGTACGATGGAGTTCTCAAAAGTGTTCACAAAACGATGGCACCAAAAGGAGAGGACGCAATTCAACAAAGCTATTCCACGGAGAGCGGTCTGTGATTTGACTTTCCATTAGAGACTTCAACTATGGATTTTATGTAAAATTTAAGGACAACTTGCAAACTAAATAACCTCAAAACAATCGACACAAAGACAGCATGGGGAACGATACCTACAAAGTGAGAGATTAGAAAACAACGACAATTATGATGCAACAAGAGGCATAATAATGCAATAATGAGCCAGTGATAAACATAGCCCGACGTACCAAACACATACAATTATCCTAAAAAGCATAAATATATCAAATAAAACAAAAATACTCTTGAGAACCAACATCAAAACATTCAACATGCCACGTAATAGCTCACAAAAAGAAGCTCAAACAGAGTTGTCCTCTAAACCTAACTGAAAAAAGACACGATATGGCATAATTCTCACCAGGTCCAAAATAAAAAGAGAAACCTAAATAAGAGCTTCCCTTGTTATTTCTAAACATATTCTGGCATATCACAACCCCTCACTCCTCATCCTCCTCTTCGCCGCCGGCTTCCTTTTTCTCAGCTGCTTTCTTATTCTTGCGCTTCACTCTTCCTTCTTTTCCTCCACCGAATGGGCTTGACAATGCAAAATCAATGTGCTTAGCCGACTCAAGCTTCACCAAGAACGATGGAACATTCACCACTTGCCTCCCAACCCTGCATCGACACAAAGATAGCTAAGCATCTAAACTTATGCTCAAAGTAAAACTATAGCAACATATGTTGAAGCCATGACCCCTGGCAACATTTATTAGATGGTAGTATTGAAAAAGCAAGCAACTAAGAATGATTACTTAAGGTCCACATGAAACATGAAGCGGACTTCGATAACATTGTCTCTACATTCTTTCTATAGAAAGAGTAGCAATAGAAATTTAAATAAAAATTTTAAGGATAAAGAAAGAGCAAAGAATAGCCATCAGAGAGATAGGATGTTGGTATCAACATAAGCACAAAATAAAATGTGCCTCAGACGACCGTCGTGAGAAATAATCCTGTATTCATCATGTGGCTTGAGAAATGGTTCAACTGCAAGGAAATCTGAGCGCCCAACAATTCAATATGCTATGGCAAGAATGAGAACAATAAATTGATGATGAAATGAACTAGAAGGATAAATACATGGTAAGAAGAACATGCCGATTGGAATAGGCATGGGGGAAAGAAACAAAAAGAAAAGGACATTAACATTCCTAGTAGAAGGAATCAATTTAAACTGCTTATAAATTATAAAATAAGAATACAAAAACGACAATTAATATTTTGAAACAAAATAAAAAGAGGACAAGAAAGCATTGAACAAGAACACTTGGTGTCACTGCCCTGACTGATAATGGACTCTTGATGATCATACTATAGTCAAAAACTAGGATACAGTTCATTTCAGAATTTGGGAACAAATTGGGTAGCAAGAATAAGCTTAATCATAATAACAGTTAAAATATGGTCTGGGGGCGGCTTTAGTAAAAATTGGTAGTATATATAATTAACCTATAAGGATGATAAGTTGTGATTTGTCAGTAACATATGTACATCAACCAACCTGCAAATTCCATCAATTAGAATTCTTAAATATGACTGCGGTAAAATTGGCTAAGCTATTGAATTAATAATATGATTCTACATAATTTACATATCCTAAATTTAGATACACTTGATATTATGATAAAATGCACTGGCGTTTAACCAAACAAATGCTTATCTGTTAAGACTAAGCAAAAAAGCACCTAGCTCAACATGAGAGAAAATCACAAGAAAAAGGATGAAAAAAGAAATATAAAAGCAATAGTAAATCTGAGAAAACCATTCTAGGAAAATGGAAAAGAAAAAAGTGCAGAACACAAACACCCTTGCTTTTGAGGCTCAATACAAATGCAACACGTATTGGAAACAAAACATGCTCAAGGGTCATCAGATCATAAGTCTTAATAGTGTGATTTTTATTCTCAAAGTTATAAGCACTAAAACGAATATTTCGAACACAAATAAAATCAAAGCAAAGGTAAATTTGAGAAAATTTATGTAAACAAAAATTTCAAAAGATGAAACCAAACTTCTGAAGTTCAATGCATATACAACAATTAATTAATGGATGGAATTGAAAAAACAGAAGGGAAAAAAGATCATGCATGAGGGACATGACATATAAGTCTCAACAGCATATAGTTGTTCCCGTATTCATAGTCGTTAAAAAATAAAATATGAAAAAATGGGCACTCAGAATGAAAAGGACTTGTACTGTTGCTCATAGTTCAGTGAAACTCATATATGAATAATTTCATTTCCTCATTGTACCCACCTAATCTAGGAATAAAGCTGAGAAAAACATTATAGGAGAAAAAAATTCAGAAGACAAACCCTGCAAGGAGTATTTACTGGACAGATATGGGGAAAAAACAAAAGCATCACAGATGAGGGAAATAACATTACTAGTCTCAATATCACACATATTATTCCCGAAGTCATAGTTGTTAAAAAAATTTCAAACATAAAAAAAAATACAAACTCAATGGACACTTAGAATGAAAAGGCCTTGAAATATTGCTCATAGTTAAGAAAAACTTGGAATAATTTCATTTCCTCATGGTACTCGGCAAATCTAAAAATAACAAAACAGACCATAAAAAGCAGCCATCTCTGATGACATGTGGAAGATGGCCTCAAGATTTGAACTAACGTCTCGTTTGGTACGCAGGAATAGACTTATATGAGAATGGAATGGAAGAGGGAATGGAATGGACTTAATGTGAGAATGTAATAGTCATTCTCATTCTCACGTTTGGGTGTAATTTATAAAATGAAGTGGGAATGGATGTATTTTAAAATTGTATATTTTATTGATTCTCATTTAGTGGGAATGCCCATTCCCTATCATTTCATTGGGAATGCTCATTCCCACATAAAGTGGGAATTGATAAGAAGTGGGAATGAGCATTCCAACTTCAAAAAAGAGGGTGTGTTTGGTAGGAAGGAATGAGAAGTGAGAATGACCATTCAATTCCACCCCATTCCCGCGTACCAAACGAGGCCAAAATGTAATGTATATTCTCAGTATTCTTCTAAAATTTTTCTTACTCAAAACAGACAGAATAGCAAAAAATAAAAATAAAAAAACCCAAATAGCATTTCTTAAATTTTCTGTAGAAGCTAGTAATAGCAAATTACAGGAAAGGATTTTCACCAAGAGAATTGCAGAAATCTTTTTTTCCTCAAATGGCAAAACTTCATTAGAGGTAATCCATATGAAACCAATACAAAATACATTGCTTTTATTCCATGTTAACATATTTATGTCAATATGATTTCAGATAATCTCCATTATAAGCCAGGAGGAAAGAAATTTGAGAACATTAAAGAAAATTCTTGCATAAATAAAAATGGCTATGTTTTAATAAAATATTGGGAAAATCATAGCGACAAATTAAGCAGCTCATCACAAACATCAACAGAATAAATTCATGTGCCTTGATTTCTTAGACTTCTAGGGAGTTGCTTATCACGTCCATTTGTGGGCTATAATGCAATAATGCACTACTATGGTCTCAAAACTATTTTGTTGCATAGCATGACCTAAATACACATATTATTAATAGATCTCTCATTTGCAGATGCATGCACTCATATTGTGTTGGGTATGTGTATGTGATGTGACCCTAAAAATGACATAAACATCTGATAAATCTTGCATTCAAAAGTAGCTCATTTGATATGGTTATCTACCATCTTGATCGCAAGGACAAGCATAGCTGAAAAGGTATGAAAACTCTGTCCTTGTTCAAGGCTTGAAACTATAAAATGATACACAAAAAAGGAAGCATAAAGAAACTTGAACAAACGAAGCACAAGTAGTATTGAATTATAGGCATTACATTAACAATTCAAGCTTACAAAGTAACTCACTGCAAGGCCCTAATTCTCTTGGTCATCTACTTGCAACACATGTAACAAACAACAATGAGTGCAATCATAAAATCTATAAGTTACAATGAGCTTATAAATAGAACAGAACTTATAAATAGAACAGAACTAATATTCCAATGTGGTTGCATTATTCAAGAAAAACTATCGGAGATTATCAATGTCGCTTTATAAATAGAAAGAAGGCTGCTGCAAATGTTGAGAGGGCTTCGGTTCCTGTGGTGGGGGTGATAGACTTGCTGGAATGATAGTTAAGCTGGAAGTTTTTTGTGATATATTTTGTGGTTTAAAATTGAAAAACTTGTATATCAGTTGGTATTGGGTTATAGTTTCTGATATTTTGTTGCTAGATATCAGTAGGAGAGAAAGACTTGGTGAAGTTTCTTACTTTGTAAAACTGTGATGATTTAGGGTACTCATTCTTGGTTGGGGATGAGTGCCTTTTTTTTGTACCAACCTTTTTAATTTAGCTGGCTGGATTACTACTTTGGTAATCCATCCTTTCTCTCAAAAAAAATCAATGTCGCTTTATTGAAAAAGAAAATCCACATATAAATAGAACAGAACTTACAAAGTCGAAGTTTTACCTGATGTGACGCTGACGTATGAGGACTCGGGCATGGTGAATTGATTTAGCCATGCCTGACTTGAAAACCTGAGTCTGCAAGCGACGCTCCAAGAAGTTCTCAACAGTCAGGGCGAGGACGTAATCGAGCTTGTTCTGTTCCTCATCGAGAAGCCCATACTTGTGCATCCTGCGAAGAAGAGCCTCACCCTCAAAGATACGGCGAGGGTCCCTCTCATCCAGAGTGAGGAGCTGCCTCGCTGCATTACGGATTCTGCTAAGAACATATTGCACCCTCCAGAGCTCTCTCTTGCAGCGAAGACCATACTCTCCAACAAGTTTCAACTCAGCATCAAGTCGTTCCTTTTCATAGGGACGACGAGGTTTCTTAAAGGTCTTGCCATCTGCATATAAATTTTGTATATAAAAATTAGTTTTTTGCTGGAAATATTACAAATACATTTTAAAGTTTGAACCTTTATGAAACATGTAGTTATTCTACTCTTATCCTTGAAGAAATATTACCTGAAACCATCCATACAACGGAGAAGGATGCCAAAATAGAACAAGTTTAACACAAGAAACATCCAAAAAGTAACGACCCTTGAAAATTAGTAAATTAACTAATCAAATAATTACCGTTCTTTGTTATACAAAAAGAATCATAGTGTAACACAACACAGACCAAGCGTCACAAACTTCAAATCATCAACTAAGAATTATTTTTGCACATCAAGATTTTTTTTACCACCAAATAGTGACATTGATTTAGCTAATCAACTAGAGATCAGAACAATAAAAACCAACAAGTAATTGCTGTAGTTCAATGTAATCATCATTAAAAAATAATGCTCAAATACTCCAGAAAATTTCTAACCCCAAAAGTCAAACTAAAAGAATCAAAAAGTCAGTGTCACTAATTTGGTTAAATCCGCCAAGATTTTGTTAAATAAAATGGCGCTTATATCAAAATAAATTTAACAGTGAATCTAAATGAACCAATTATCTAGTGAAGATAGAACAACTACAGCTATACAAAGCTACAATTTTGGAACTTAGGTTATTGAACTAAATATTGCAGATAAAAAATCCTAAAAAAACACCATCAATCAGTAAGAGAAGAAATTGATTAAAACAAAAGATTAAGAGAGAGAGAGGATCAAGATTATACAGTTTCTGTAGAAAGAGACGTGCACCATCTTCGAAGCAGTGCCCTAAAAGATCACCTCTTGCGAGTCGCCGTCGCCGCTCGCTCTCTAAAAGGAGGGAAGAAAAAGATGAAACCCTAGGAAAACATTCGGAGTATATAAGGGTTAAATCATCACGTGCACGGCGCGTGTTAGGGCTAATGTAAGTTGAGCTTTTGAGGTATAACTAGATGGGCCGTGTTGGCCTGTTAACAACTAGTTCGCTACATAGGATTGGGCCAACGGTTATATACTTCGATGAAATTATAAGCATGAATTTCATTTTAAAAAGCTTTTTGATTATTAGGAATTTTGTAAAGACAGAGTACAATAAACTATTTGATAAGGGAATATTACTATACATTACTAGTGTTATACCTGTCCATTGCTGCAAGAATTTTTTAGATATATATAATATATATATATATATATATATATAAATATATATATATAATATATATAATATATAGAGTAGAACTTGTGTTCAACTTATAGTGATAGTGAATAGTGTCCACCAAAAACTTATATCCACCTCATGTAACATATAGAAAGTCACTTCATAATCATGCAAGGATCCTAGGAAACATGCTAAGGGTTACAAAGTTTAGTGGATGTTCCACTTAATTGGAGCACAAGTTTTGGCTCTATATATATAATATATATATATTATATATAGTATATTATATATATAATATATATATATATATATATATATAATATAATAATATATATATATATATATATATATATCTCAGAATACCAATAAATAAAACTAACACTATAAATATTTAAGAAAGTAAAAAATAATTTTTTGTGTGATTTTTATCAATCGCTAAACAACCTTTTATTACATAGCCAGAATGTTGAATTGATTCTTTAATATTGTTAAACCTTACTATATACATAATGAGAACAAAGAGTTAGTGTGTGTGTATATATATATATAAAAATAATAATTATATATATACTATATATATATATTATATATATATATATATTATATATATATATATATATATATAATATATATACTGTAACACCAACATCTATGTTCTTCTTCACAAAATAGCATGTTGCGACTTTGCATGAATAGCTAGAAAACATATGACCCAAATTAATACCGTAAGAAATTTTTTATTATAGACATTATTATTTACGATAATCTAATATATAACTACAAATAAGGTTCCTGTTCTTAAAAAAAAGAAGAGGATGGTGCAGCTAAAAATATCTAGAGGATTAAATGCTTAGCTCACTCCAGTAAAAAAAATTTACCATGAGGTGTCTAGGTGAATCATCATAAGGAATTATGATGGCCATGAGATGTCCAAGGTGAATCATCATGATAAGGAAAAAATATAAAACCAACCAAGGCCATGACTATATATAGGGGTCTCGGTTGGGCTAACTACTACACAAAAAAGGTATATATAGGCATGTCCATCCGGGCCGGGCCAGGCAAAACCAAAGCCCGGACCAGGGCTCGGGTCCGGGCCTGAGCGGGCCAGGCTCCGGGTCGGCCTGGTTTTTTTATTTTTTTATTTTTTTAAAATCTCTTTAAAACTCCAATTTTACATAAAAAAGTATGCAAAATTTTAATAAAAACAATAATATTATTAATCAATTGAAATTACATAAATTTACAAATACAAATTATAAAAAAGACAAATGATAAAAATAACATCTTTATTAATAACCAGTAAATCATTTACAAGTATAAATTTATTTCGGAATTCGTCGCATCACAATAGATGAGTACATCCCAACTAGGTTGGCACATACTCACCTATATCACTATTATTTGTAACTGTTTCCAAAATAGTTCATTACAAAATTTAACTAAGAAATAAAAATTACAATTTGATGAATATTATTTAATCTTTATATCTATCTGCTAGTCCCAATTCTTCAAATTTATCTTTAATTCCAGTCATCCATCGATGCCTTGCGTTCTCTTCTCGTACCTCCACTAATCTTGTAAGCACATCACCGTATGTATAGTATACGGATCTAACGATGTCATGTGGTCGTCGATCAAACATCCTACTATGCTGAAGGCGGATCCCGAAGCTACCATCGAAACATGTACCGTTAGTAAGTCACGAATCATAGTGGAAAGTATAGAATATGAAGCTGATCCATATACTCTCTACCATTGTAAAATATCTAAATTATTATTTTAACATTTAACTAAAGAAGCAGAAAAATATTCATCTATTTCAGAAACCTCCTATGATGATCCAAGTCCAGATCTACCAGTTAGTTCAGCTACCATTGCATACTTATCAAAACTTACATTTTTTCTTCGACTTGAGCTCGAAGAAGCCGAAGTTTGTAAACCGATGTGCAGCTACATTATGTTTAGCTACATACTCATCATATAATGTTTGAAAATAATTTCTAATAGCATTAGGATAGGAAATAGCAGTAATGGTGGATCCAGCATCTAAGTATATAATCTGATTTATCATACAATGATTGCAAGAAATTTCGAATGCCAATATCCTTTAATTGCGGATCAATAAGAACCTCCAAACCAAAAATATGAGGAATATGCCTAAAATACTTATTAAATTTGTTCTCCATTTGAAAATTTATAGTTCCATAAGTATCATCCATACGATATTTACCAAAAAAATTTAAATATTTAAAATTTGTAAAGCAACTAAAGCAATGGTTATATAATAACAGCCATATAATAACATTGTAGCATCATAAAAAATTTGTAACATCTCTTTTAAATCACTTATAATTGTTCATTCCTCTTTAGTGATTCCATAGGTGCTACCAGAGCTAGAACTAGAAGAATAATAAAAAATAAAATCATTTATAATTTTTTTATATTCTATTGCTATACTTAACATTGCATAGGTGGAATTCTACTTGTGGTCAATATCTTTTAGAATTAGTATGGGCTTTACATTTTTTTCTTTTACAAAATTGTTTCCATCTTCTAATTCTTTGTTCAGAAGCATTATGCATATAAGTTATTAACCTAACATTTTCTATTATGGGTTTAATTTTAGTAAATACACTTTGAACAATTAAATTTAAAATATAACAGATGCATCTAATATGACAAAGATCACAATAATATGGTAATGATAGAGTTGTTTTGATAAAATCAACAGCTACATTATTATTACTTGCATTATCTAGTGAAAGAGAAAATATTTTTTCTGAAATTTTTAGTTTCATAAGTTCTTCAATTATTAAATTTATAACATTAATACAAGTATGTGACTCTTCAATTTCAATAAAGGAAACAACTCTTTTAAATATTTGTCAATTTTTATCAATCCAGTGTGCTGTGATGCATAAATAACCCGTTTGTGCTCTAGATGTCCAAATATCAAAATTCAAAGAAAATTTATATTTTAAACTTTAAAATAAGAAATTATTTTTACTTGTTCCTCCTGATAATGTTTTAAAATATCATGTACGTTGACAAGTTTGACGAGAAAATTTTTTAAATACGGGGTAAAACCCATCTGTAAATAAATCTTCAAATTTATCATCTTCTACTAATCTAAAAGGAAGATTCTTAAGAATGATAAACCTGATGATACATTTCTTAGCACGGTCTGTGTCATAACTCTAACTTCTGAGACTACCAGAAGTTGAGGATTGTTAGATCATAGATTGTCAGATATCACCTTGAGGCGTCTGGCCTCTGTTGTGTTTATCTAAATGGCGTTTAACGTCTGGCCTCTGTTGTGTTTATCTAAATGTCGTTTAAGGTGGTTGGTGCCGCTCTTATGATGAGATTAGAAAATCTTGCCGCACAACACACATTTAGCCTTCTAGGTGAGGATCCTACCATGTTCATCCTTGGTGACGTCTATCTTTCGTAAAAATTCTACACATCGGATCTCGGCCTTTTAGGAGCTCTTGGTGTAGAATCGTTGTCACCGGATCCGGGATTAACATATGTAGGATCGGTAGGAGTAGACTGTAGGTAATAAAAATTATATTTATCCCTGCACAACAACTTGGAACAAGCAAAAGAGCTTAAGGGACCACAGTGGGTGAAGGCAAGACGACTCATCTAGAGTCCACCCGACTCAGGCGACTTGACGAGTCGGTACGTCGACACGAAAAGTGTCATTTGTCGACTCTTCCTTTCGAAGCTGACTCGATTCGAGTCCACCCAACTCAGTCGACCAGACGACTCGACGTTTCTTCATGTCGACACGAAAGGTGTCTTAGTCGGTGTTTCTTCATGTCGACACGAAAGGTGTCATTAGTCGGCCCCTCAAAGATGACTCGACCAGACGACTCGATGCTTCTTCATGTCAACACGAAAGGCATCATTACTCACTGACCCCGCATGTTTGGCTGACTCGCTAGCACGAGTCGGACCCGCTTGAAGGTTTGAGCTCACCTGACAACTTAAGCTCGCCTAAAGGTCAAGCTCGACAGCTTGAAGCTCGCCTGCAGACCCAAGCGCCAGCTCGCCTGAATGCCTAGTCAAGCTCACTTGTCAGCTGCCCACTTGGAGTATGGTTAAAGTCATATCAACGATCACATCCCACAGCTAAAGAGCATAGCGCTCCTCACCTAGGTTAGGCATGACCAGAACTCTCTTAATTACTATTGATGGCTACAAAAATGGAGCGGCTGACAGGCTACAAGAATAGGATGGCTGGTAGGACCCCCTAGGTAGTCACATCCCATAGCTAGGGAGGTATGGTCTACTAGTGGTCAAATGCCATAAATCAAGGGATGGCCAATGTCATCCCTTGCCTATTTAAAGCCACTTTCAGCCAACGAGAAAGGGGATGGGCATATTTCATTCTCAAGGCTCTTCGAACAGAGACTTGGGGAGGGGGGGAGTTGCTGTTTGAATTAGACCAAACTTGTTGGCGGTTGATTGGCTGCTTGGTTCTGGTTGGCTAATCATCCTACTTCCAAAGGTTAAACCTTAGCTCATTTGCTAAAGGCTCCCCCATTTTCTCGGCTTGAAGATTGCGGTAGCCTATGAGACACGCTAAAGCAGTTAGTCTCCCGCAATGGCTTCAAAGCCGAGAAAATGGGGGAGCCTT